TAAAAAAAAAAAAAAAAAGGTCATGAAGAACCTAGGGGCAGGACAGGAATGAAGACGCAGACCTACTAGAGAATGGACCTGAGGATATGGGGAGGGGGAAGGGTAAGCTGGGACGAAGTGAGAGAGTGGCATGGACATATATACACTACCAAACGTAAAACAGATAGCTAGTGGGAAGCAGCTACACAGCACAGGGAGATCAGCTCGGTGCTTCGTGACCACCTAGAGGGGTGGGATAGGGAGGGTGGGAGGGAGACGCAAGAGGGAGGGGATATGGGGATATATGTATATGTATAACTGATCGACTTTGTTACAAAGCAGAAACTAACACACTATTGTAAAGCAATTATACTCCAATAAAGATGTTAAAAAAATTTCATTAAAATGGTCACGGTTATTAGTGAGGGAGGTAAAGCTTACACCCAACCACCCCCCCCAGCAATTCCAAGTTCACTGATGTTTCCCAACAAATAAAAGTCACGCAGACCTGTAGGATCAGTCTGGTTAAACAGTTAGATAGCCAGACCTGGGATCAAAACCCAGTTCTATCGCTGACTAGACTTCAGACATCAGATGCATTTTTAAAACCTCTCTAAATCCCAAGTTCCTCCGCTGTAAAATGGAGTTAAGATCATAAAAGACATGTAAAGGACATGGCACGGAGTGGGTACTCAACAAATTTTAGTTCTCCCCGCTTCCCTTTCTCCTACAGGCTCCCTCAAATCTGAGCAGACCATCCATTGTCTGGTTAAACATGTGGATGGTTAGTGAAAGCCTAAGTTGTTATAAAAAAGTTAAGTCAAGAGATCTGGAGATATTGATAACACAAGAGTAAATTAATTGCCACAGGCAAAGAAGACCAGAGCAGGAACTGCTGTCACTGTATGTACTGTTACAGAATAGCCAAGAGAGTGGTTCTTTTTTAAAAATCCATGATGTTGAATCCTTTTTTAAAGGGGACAGGTCATATCAGAACATCACACCTTGAATTTATTCTCTGCCATCTAATAAACATGGCCCATTGTTGCCAAACATAAATTATTTAAAATACGTCAAAGAGATGGGAAACATGTCCGACTAAGGCGTGGTTTGAGACTTCTGAGTGTGGATACGCTGGCAGCCTTCACGTCTGGCGTCGGCCAGGAGTGTGAGACCCCAGGGTCAGCCGGCCGTGTCAGTGGCAAAGGAGAAGTGAAATTCTGACTGCTTTCATCTCCTCTCTGCTGCCCCCGGGTGAGGATGGGGTGTGGTGTGGTGCACAGACACCAGCAGGGGATGGGCCCGGAGGGGAGGGGAGGGGAGGAGGTGTGGGCAGGAGAGAAGCATGAACTCAGAGGAAGGGCAGCTGCTGTTGTCAGGAAGCAGGCGTGGGTCTGCTGCCAGAAAAATGAAGCGCTTATCAAATCTGTTGCTAAAAATATTAAAGCGCATAGCATAATTTAGACTATTTCTTCAAATTTCAACTAGATGCTAGAGAATTATGTGCCAGTAAGTATCGTACATGTGACTCTGGCTGTTGGCACAATCCTGCCCAGTGAGAACTGAGGTTGTCTTACTGCACACGTGGGTGGTTAGTACACGCTTTACGAGTACGCTACAGGTCGCATTCCTCATACACACAACTTCACTCATGATTATGAGTTAGACGTGGACATGAGGAGACAATGGTCTCCTTCCATTAAATGCAAACTGGCGGAAATTACTGTTTAAGTTGCCAGGTTGTAAGAGAAAACAGATCAGACTAATGAGGGTGAAGTCGTATAAGCGGTTTATAAAAGAAATCACGCCGAGGTCAAGGCTGACATCGCTGACTCCCATACATCCATGCACACGTACACATGTGACCTCTGCCTTCCCACCGCCACTGCTCAAACTCAAGCTGGTTCTTATTTCTCTGCCATTCACATGCAGTTGATGAATCCTTTATCTTGGCAAACACCCATTGCTCATATGTCACCCGTCTCAGAAGCCCCTGAGGGCTTCCCACTGCTTGAGGGACAGAGGCCTGACTCCTACGTTCAGCCCCTCCTTCTAATTCAGTGGTTCTCAACCACTGGGGGAGCTTTAAAAGATAAACAGGCTTAGGTCTCATGCCCCAGCAATTCTATTTATTAGTTCCGGGGTTAAGATCCAGGGACTTGTATTTTTAAAAAGATCTATGGATGAACTCTTATTCACTGCCAAGGTGGAACCACTGGTGCCATTTTCCCACCTATTATTTCACTGACATAAACTAAACCTTCTGTTCCAGCCAGTAATGCTGTTTTCGTTTGTCTGTTTGTAACTCTAGTCCTCTGTTCATGCTGTTAATCCAACCTGGAATATCATTTCCTCTCCTAGCTCTTTATTTAGACCTTCACCATTGCTCTAAGACTAAATGAAATCCCACCACTATCTTTATAACCATGGTGAATCATGCCATTCTGATCATCCTAAGAACGTTTGTTACCTCCCTGAAGTACTTTATGGCAATTAACAACATATTGTTTGCACTGTGAATGCTTCTTTCATACTCTACTCCCTGATTCAGGCTCCTGGAGGGGAAAGGACACTTTTCATATTATCTTTGGTTCCCATTCCCCAGTCCCCGGCATCTAGGACAGTACTAAACATAAAATAGACACTCACTTCTGTGCTCCAAGCTCATAAGATGCTGAACATGTTAAATTCTCTAAATTTTATGGAGTGCTATTCTTACAGCCTGACAGCAGAAACCGTCAGCCTCCAGGGCTGTTTACATACACGGGTGCTTTTCATGGCAAAGCATCACTACGCCCACGTAGGAATGAGAATCACTTGTCCACAAAACTGATGTCATGTCAAATACAGAGCTGATGCCTAGAAATGTGTTTTTCCTATAGAGAGAAGTATTTTCCATGCTTATATATTTAATTCCCATAAGCCCACAGGACAACTGAAAGGGAGCAGTAGCAAGGCACTCCTCATCTGTCAATACCTGACTTAACCCCCATGTGACAGGGCAGCTGAAGCCCTATTTACCATCCGAATCTACTGTGGGAGGATGAGAAGAGCAAGTGTCCCCTTGCCCTCAATTCCGAAGACATGAGAGTATCAGTGACCTATCGGTAAATGTTCCTTATGCAAATACTGAAAACCAAAAAGCTGCTGGTATGAGGGTATCCAATATGGGGGGACGGGCCATGCCAGAGCCCCAGCTCAGACCCTCCTACAGCTCAGGCTGCCCAGAAATGAGGGAATGAGAGATGTGTTTCCATATCCAGAGTTAGAGGTTCTCTACAAAACAATGTGATACACGGAGGCTGCACTGGTACTTCTGGGTTAACTAGTCTTGGGAGGGCTGGCTGAGAAACCTAACCACTATTTATAACATTGTTTTTGTGGAAAAATGCTTTCTGCATTCCAAACAACAGAATTAGACATGAACTTTGGGACTACAGTTTATTTCTGAGGCTGGGAACTGACCGTATCTTGTTAATTACACCACGGTCAGTGTTTGCCTAGGATAAGATGGCAGTGTGGAGGTCTGCCAGGAGGGCACAACGAGGGAGAACAGTTGCATGAATACGGACCATATGTGTCTGTAAGGATGAAAGACGGAAGGGGATGATGGGAGAAAAGTCCAGGCACATTCTCAATTTGTTATACAAATATTTACCAAGCACTATTAAAGGTTATTGCCGAATGCTGCGTAAGACAAAAATAAGTCAGACAAGAGGTTTGATTTTCTGGCCCTCACAGCCTCGGGTGGGAGATAAGACAGACATCAATACACACACTAAAGCTGCAGGGTAAAATGTGCTGAAACAGTGGTAAAAACAAAATCCTGGGCGAAGCCAGCAGAGAGGGGAAGAGCTCGTGCTTCTAGCTGGAGTGATCAGGGAAAGCTTCGTGGAGGGGTCCACACCTGAGCTGAGCCTTGAGGGGCCAGCCTGCGCCAAGATTTCAACCGGCAGAGAAACCAGAAAGGGAGGAGCAAAGGACGTCACAGAGAACACCAAGAAAACAGTCCAAGTTGAGACGCAGAGGCACAGACAAGAATGAGAAGTCAGAGAACGGGAGAGAGCTCAGTTGGCTAAGGCGGGGGGTATTTTTAGGAGCTTGGGAGAGGGCTGTGAATGCCAGGGGAAGGCATGGATTCTATCCAGTAGTGAGTGGGGAGCCATTAAAGGGTTTTAAAATTATTGGAGTGGTTCTACGTGCAGATCTGTCTGGCAACAAAAACAGGATAGAAGACAGAATGAAGACAGAAGACCATTAGGAGATAATTATAATAGTTGGGATTGGTTAAGATGACTTTTCAAAACTACATTTTTTGAATAAATAGTTAACCATTTAAGGTTCCAGTTACTATATATCGCCCTTTAATGATCAAGAACATATTTTAAAAAACCGTACAAAGACTTAAGAAACTGAAAAACAAAACATTTGTTACAATGGAAAGCCGTTTTAGAACCATTAAGTTTGGCACACAGCTGGGACTTGTTGCCTAGACTTGATACAAAATAAAGGACGATTCTGAAGTGCTACTCTCAGTTTTAAAATAATACCTTGATTTTAAACATTATATTTTTAATAAGCACATGAAATTTAGTAAGTAATCATCTTTCCACTATTTTCAAAGACCAGTGATTCAACATACAAGGGGACTCTAAGATATTCTGAGCAATTCTAGCGTTGAGAAAGCCTCAAAGGTGGTGAACTTAATTCTTTACATTTTAAATCAATATTAAGCTGATGCTGAGAGATGTGAGCAGACTTACATGAGGTGACTTGACTTAGCAAATGTCTTCTAAACGTCACATTTTCAGTGTTGGTTGAGACATGACATTCATCTTGATCTGAAAACAAATGTAATGGAAGTAATAAAATTGAAAGAACTGATAGGTAGCTCACAGAAGCCAATTAGATGATTAAACATCATAAAAGAGTTCTATTTAGTTCTATAAAACTGACATTACTTATGTATAATTTAAGAACCTAAGATAAAAATCTCAAGCTACGCTCAAAGACTTCTAAAATAGGAAGTATAACATATTCCCTTCCTATATATTTTATGTCAATCTCCTAAAGCTTCTGGAAAATATATTATTAGATATTTAAGCCTGATTTACACTGAATCGTTTAAAATTTAGCTAACAATCAAGCCCCACTCAGCACTAGAGAGCAGGGAGAGATGAAGTTGAGTAAGAGATAGTTCCTGTCCTTAGGAAACCCACAAACCACCAGAGACAGACAGATCAACTAGAAAAACCCCACATCAAGGCAAATACAATAAACGTTGCAAGTGGTCCAAAGTGCTTCGGGTTTGGGGGAGGGTTCCTTACTGCAGGGAAGACGTACAGAGGCTCTGTGTTATGGACTAAACTGTGTCTTCTAACCCCCCAAAATCATGTGTCGAAGCCCTCATCCCCCAGTACATCAGGATGTGTCTGTATTTGGAGATAAGGCCCTTTAAGATATGATTAAATTAAAATAAGGCCTTTAGGGTGGGCCCTAATCCAATCTGACTGGTGCCCCTATAGGAAGAGGAAGTTAGGACACAAAGAGACACACCAGGGGAAAGACCATGTGAGGACAAGGAAAGAAGGCGGACATCTGCAAGCTAAGGAGAGAACCCTCAGAGGAAATCAAGCCTGCGACACCTTGATCTCAGATGACTAGCTTCCAAGACTGAGCAAACAAACTGCTGTTGTTGAAGTCACCCAGTCTGTAGTATTTTGCTACATAGTCCCAGCAAAGTAACATGCTCTGTACAGGTGACATTTAAATGCAGTTTGAAAAGAGACAGGACTTTTAACAATCGGATAAAGGTAAGGTTTAGAAACAAATAACGTTCCAAGAAGAAACAAAAATTATTTTGTTTTAGGCACAGAGGCCACAATACAGAGTATGAGCTCAGAAAAGTCAGTATACTTCTATAATAAAAGCATAGTCTGGGGGTGAGGAAGAGAAAAGGGGGGGCAGGGAGTGAGGGGGAAAAGCAGGACGGAGGGAGGGAGCAGGAAACCCACAGACCAACAGACAGACGAGGACTGGAAAAGGGGCTGAATGCCACACTCAGTATATGCCGCTGTATTTTAGACATAAAAAGAGCCGCCAAGGGTTTTCAGTAGGAAACTCATTCGAATTTGTATCCTAGAAAGATGGCTCTGGTTTTACAGTTACTATGAGAAGATTCGAAAGGCAGTGAGACCTATTTTGTTACTGTAATAGCCAAGGTAAGGGGAAACCAGGGCAACTGCAACGGATTTAAATCGTCAAAAATACACTGAAGACGTGCTTGAAAGTGAGAACGCGAATAACCACGCCATCAGTTATGCAAGACCGAGGGCTGGAACGGTTACCAGCATTCAGTCAGACAGTCACAGACGCAGTGTCCTCGGCAGCCACAGACCTTCCCTTTCAATCACCACCTTGCGTGTGGGCATTGATCATGACTTTAAGAAATCAACCAACCCAAAGACCCAGCTCACTTCTGACCTCTTACCCTAGAGCTTGATAATCAACCTATAAAACCTATAATCAACCTATAATCAACCTATAAAAATCCTAAATTCATTTCCTAAAGCAGGCAGTCCTTCAGAATCATCTGTGTGGTCTCCCTTGTTACAGCAAGTCAATAAGACAGCTTGCTTATCTTCTAAAAGGTTTACTTATTTGAGAGGGGAGCTTTCCACAAAGTCTGCGGTCCATCAGTGAAGTTGAGGAAGAAGAGGCAAAGGAGGCAGCACCCGGTCCTGTCTTTTCAGGGCGGAAGGAGGGCTAAGAATAACTTAACAGGCGCTGGTGACCTTAGAAAGAAATTTCAGGATGGCAATAAAAGAGAACAGAAACTTCCAGTAATTGGGGGAATTAAAGAAAATGGAGAAATGGAATTAACTACTCTAAGAGGCCTGGCATAGTTTGAAAGGAAAGCTGAATCTTTAACAAGACTTGTTGTTTTCATTTTTAATGCCAGTAAAAGGAAGAGAGGTTAATAATGGAGCAAAGTCTGGTGAGAAGGTGGGAAAAGACGTCTGGTTAGAGTTCGCCATGTTAAGAGGAGAAACTGTTTTTTCTTTATGGTTAGAAATGGAAGAAAGGATGGGTGACGGATATAGATAAAAATTATTGTGTAGAAGGGCGTACAGTTGAGGGAGTTAAGATCAATAGCACGGCCATCTGCTGTGATAGAGAGGGGGGAGGGAAAGAGAGGTGGAAAGACAGTATATAACTGAAGGAAACTCTGAATTTGAGGCTTTGAAGGGAAAACACTAGCCAGAAAAGAGGAGGAAGGAAAACAGAGGGACTTTCAGCATTTGAGATCTTGAGATGATTCTGGTTGACAGCACTGATCAAGTTAAAGAATATAACTTGTTATAGTACAGTTAAAAAATAGCACTGCCTACGAAAGCCAGGTTTACATTTCTGCAGAGGAGAGGCAAGAATTCTGGGGGTAAGATCAAAATTATAAAAACTTATTCAAAATAGAGCAGGGGGTCCAGATGACATGAGGACCCAGAAGTAGGTTGGCAGTGGAACTGGGGGTTCCATCTGAACAGGGTAGATCTGACTTCTTAGAGAAAGAGGATAATAAGAGTAGGGCTCCAACCAGGTTGATAGGTGAAAAAACACCATTCTCTCTCTCCCCCTCTCCCTCTCTCCCTCCCTCTCCCTCTCCCTCTCCCTCTCCCTCTCCCTCTCTCTCTCTCTCTCTGCCTTATCTGTTTGATGAGAGAGAGTGAAAGACTGATCACACATGTCACCAGTCTCTCACCCTCTCTTAGAACTTGCTTGCCCAAACCTGCATACATTCCCCTCTCATCCACATGGCAAACTCAAAAGGGCAAGTTAGGTCAGTCCAATTCGAAGGGGTACGATGACTAGAGTCAAACCTAAGGATGCTTTTACCCAGTTCCCCCACAAATAAGGTTGACATTTTTATGCCAACCTGAGTCATGCCTGCTTCTCAAAGGTTCGGAAGCTGGCAGAAGGAAAATGTGATATACTTAATTGGACGCCTCAAACTCCAAAAAAAGGGATGAAAAGTAAATAAACGGAGATCAATCTGAAGGAAACTGTATGGAAGGGGAGTTGAGTCTAAATCTTGTCAGCAGCCACAGTGAACTTTTACATCAGAGACCTAAAACTGAGACCTAGTTCAGGTGAAGAATATTACTAGAGATGGGAAGATTTTGAAGCATGGATTCAATGCCTTTTTTGTTTTTGGCTGTGTTGGGTCTTCGTTGCTGCACGTGGGCTTTCTGTAGTTGCGGCGAGCAGGGGCTACTCTTCGTTACAGTGCACAGGCTTCTCATTGCAGTGGCTTCTCTTGTTGTGGAGCACAGGCTGTAGGCGTGCAGGTTTCAGTAGTTGTGGCACGTGGGCTCAGTAGTTGTGGCTCACGGGCTCTAGAGCGCAGGCTTCGTATCTGTGGCACACAGGCTTAGTTGCTCCACAGCATGTGGGATCTTCCCGGACCAGGGATTGAACCTGTGTCCCCTGCATAGGCAGGTGGATTCTTAACCACTGTGCCACCAGGGAAGTCCCAGATTCAATGCCTTTAAAAGGTATAATACTATTCACAATTTTTACTTTTTTGAGTGTCAGTTTGGTAAGGAATTTGTCCATTTCATACAAGTTGTCAAATGTACTGACATAAAGTTGTTCATAGTATTTTCTTATCCTTTAATATTTCTGGAATCTCTAGTAATGTTTCCTTTTTATACCATATTGTTAATTTGAGCTCTTTATTTTAAGTAGGAGTTTATCAATTTTATTAATATTTTCAAAGAAACACCTTTGACTTTTCTTTGTCTTTTTTTCTGTTAGTTATTTCCAGTTTACACGGGCCTCTCACTGTCGTGGCCTCTCCCGTTGCGGAGCACAGGCTCCGGACGCGCAGGCTCAGAGGTCATGGCTCACGGGCCCAGCCGCTCCGCAGCATGTGGGATCTTCGCGGACCGGGGCACGAACCCGTGTCCTCTGCATCGGCAGGCGGACTCTCAACCACTGCGCCACCAGGGAAGCCCTAATGTTACCTTTTAAACAAATGCATTTAAAGCTGTACAATTCTCCCCAGGCACTACTTTGTGTCTCACACGTTCTGATACTGATTCTGTTCTGTTCTCTCTCTCTCTCTCTCTCTCTATATATATATATATATTTTTTTTTTCCTTTCCTTTGCAGTACGCGGGCCTCTCACTGTTGTGGCCTCTCCCGTTGCGGAGCCCAGGCTCCGGACACGCAGGCTCAGCGGTCATGGCTCACGGGCGCAGCCGCTCCGCGGCATGTGGGATCTTCCCGGACCAGGGCACGAACCCGTGTCCCCTGCATCGGCAGGTGGACTCTCAACCACTACGCCACCAGGGAAGCCCTCAATATATTTTCTGATTGTGGTTGTGAGTACTTCTTTGACCTACGGATTATTTAAAAGTGTGCTGCTTCTTTTCCATGCAAATTGAGAAATTTTTAATCTTTCTGTTATATATTTCTAGTTTAATTCCACCATGGAACATATACTTTATGATATCAATCCTTTGAAATCTGTTGAGATTGGCTTTTTGGCTTAGCACACGTTCTATTCTGGTAAAGGTTCCATGCATGCTTGAAAAAAATGTGCATTCTGCAGTTGTTGGAAATAATGTTCTATAAATAGCAAATAATGTTCTATAAATAGGTCAAATTAATCACATTGTTTAAATATTCTATCACCTTACTGATTGTTAAAAATCTGCTTGCTGGACATACATTAAGTTAACCTTAAATAACAAAATAATACCTGCATTCCAATATACATTAGGTGCAGACAAATACTGTTTGATTCCGCTTATATGAGGCACCTAGAATAGCCAAATTC